TGAGCAGGAGTTCCCTGAGTAGGGAGACCCTGTCCAGGCTCTCCCTGACCCTTTGCAGCTGACCTGGGGCTGGGATCTGGAGAGCCTGCCCACCCTTGGTCTGTGGAGAGAGAGACTGGATAGGGCAGAAGTCAGCTCATCCTGCCGATCCTTAATCCTCCTATAAACAGGGACGAGGGCTGGTCCTGGCAGTGCCGGGGACCAGACACGAGGCTGACCTGTCATCTGCCCTTCTCCCAGCTCTTGGGGAAGACAGACTTGAAAGTAGGCAAATGCAACCTAACATTGTCAGCACAGAGAGGAACAGAGTTCAGAGCATGGGGTTTGGGGGAGGAGGGAATGCTCTAGAAGGATGACATAAATTAGGAGTTAGTCAAAGACTATTCCAGCAGAGGGACTAGCCCAAGCAAACCTGATTGTGGAACATGGTTATGGGCCTGTCTGGATTCCAGCTCCACCATTCTCTCTTGCTTGGGCAGCTCTAGGACACTTGTGAGCCTCAGTTTTCTTGTCTGCAAAAAAAGGGGACATGGGGCGCCTGGGTGGCTCAGTGGTTGAGCATCTGACTTCGGCTCAGGTCGTGATCCCGGGGTCCTTGATTCAAGTCCTATATCGGGCTCCCCACAGGAAGCCTGCTTCTTCCTCTGCCTATATCTCTGCCTCTTTTTCTCTGTGTCTTTTATAAATAAATAAATAAAATCCTAAAAAAAAAAAAAAAAGACTACTCTGGTAGCAGGCAGGGTGCCCCGTTCCTATTCTCAATTCCTCCCCGCACCCCACTTCTCAGTCCATGTTAAACAATCAGGGTAAGCTTCAAGCGGAAGAGACGGTCAGCTTGAAGAAGCGGCCAGAGGTGATGGATGGCTCTTGGGGGGCTGGCAGGCCGTGCCTGGTCTGAACACCGTTCCCCAGCTTCTTTAGGCTGACCCTTCCAACTGTGAGGCTGAGAATCAGGGCCTCCAGCCTCTGAGGTGGGCACTGTTGGCCTTTCCCTATCTGCAGGGGAGAATAAGGTTTGGGGTCCTCCCACCAGTGTTGGGGGCCAACCACCTTTTGCCCACGGAGTCCAGTGGTTTGTTCCCTTCCCTGCCACATGTACATGGTCAGGGGGTCTGGGAGGGAAAGCACTGAGGCCCGTGAACTGTGAAGGAGCAGGGAAGCCTGGGCTCCCCTCCCTCTCTACCAGCTCTGTTAGTTGGGTGACACTGTCACCTGAGGGCTTTTTAGGGCCAGGGGCTGGGACTGGAAGACTGAGCAGCCATGGAAGGCTCTGTGAGGTCTCAGAACCTCTGGAGTGATGCAGGGTCCCGCCCTCCCAGGTCCCCCCACAATGTCCTAGCAGCCCCTTTACCCGGCCTCACCCCAGGCCCGAAAGCTTGGTGCCCACCTAAATTCTGCATTCACTGGCTTCTGCTGGCCTTGGCGCAGCCAACCCAGCCCGTGCGGGGCCACAAGCCTGCCTTTGTGGACTGGTCCTCCTACGTGGGCCGTGCCAGGAGGGGCTGACCCGCATTCTGCCTGCAGCTGGGACAAGCCCCCATGGGCCTGGGCCCCCCTTTGCCCCATGGAGAGATGGAGCTGGCATGAATGTAACATCCTGCATTTTCAGAAACTGACTGTGGTCCAGGGCAGACCCTGGGGAGACAGCTGCTCATGTGAGAAAGATCATTTATTCATTCACTTATTCAATAGATGCTTATTGAGTCTCTGCTCTGAGTCTCTGCCCTGGTCTTGTGGTACTTCCACAGATGGCTCTTGTCCTTTTAGGAAGAAGTTTTCCTTCCAGAAACCCCTCGACTTAGAGTCTCTTGGGTAGCCAACCCCCAGAGTTTCTGATTCAGTGGGTATCGATTGAGGCGGCAAAATTTCTGATAATTTCCCCAGTGATGGTTATACGCTACTGGTCCAGGGACCACGCTTCGAGAGCCAGTGTGACTTAGGACCAGGGGCAGGAATTATGACTGATTTAGGTTTTCTGTATTTTTTTTTAAGGTTTTATTTATTCATGACAGACACAGAGAAAGAGAGAGGCAGAGACACAGGCAGAGGGAGAAGCAGGCTCCATGCAGGGAACCCGACGTGGGACTCGATCCCAGGCCTCTAGGATCACGGGCTGAAGGCGGCACTAAACCGCTGGGCCACCGGGGCTGCCCGGTTTTCTGTATTTTCAAAACTGTCTCTATGATCATGAGTTACTTTTCTAAATAGAAAAATCAGTTATTTAAAACTAAAGATAAATAAATAAATGTGAGTCCAAATTGACTCTAGTGCTCTGGATACAGTCCTCTGTTGAGAGATATGATATCACCTCTCGTGACTTAAATGTCATACATCTATTAATGTAGCCCAACACTAGGAGCTTGTATGTTCCCTGTCCTTCTCCTTGGATCATCCTGAGCTTCAGGTCCACTCAGACCACCATATCCTCCCTGTCACCTGTCAACGAGACTGCAGTGAGAATAAGTGTGATGCTAGTCCGTAGCACTGTGGGGATTTGAACACAGGCGCATCTGGAGGCTGGCTTAATTTGGGTTTAGCCGACTGGCCCATACTTCCTGCATGCCCTTTCCTTTATGCTTCCTTATTCCTTAATCCACCAGATGAAATGGTGTGTGGACTCTTCACTTCCTCATTTCTTTTGACTGGTGTGATCATTGACTGTCTCACTTCTTCTTTTTCCACTTTTAGTTTTGTCCACTTGGCATGGTGGCCATGAGTCTGTGTGTGTATTGGGATGGAGGTGGAGGCGGGGTCCTGGTGAGGTGACTCTTCTTCAGCAGCTGGTGTAGGCAGTACCATCCACATTGCTGAAGCCATCCCTAGGGGGGAGCCTGTGGTGGCAAGTGGGGATTAAGTCCTAGGGTTGATGGTGGGAACCGGATGGTATCTGTCGTTGGGAGAATCAGATACCTGTTCCTTCCCTCTTCATCTTCTGTCCATGTGAGAAATAGTCCACAGGAATCAGACAGGTGAGCTTTCACACTGAGAACTGGCCTGTTTCCTAACATGGCTCCTGAATTAAACCGACCCACCCAGTCTCTAGGGGGCTCTGGGCAACCCCAGGCCATGCCCCCAGAGGGAGCCACCCACTTTCTTTGGGGAAAGGAAGGTGCAGAGGCTAGTGAACACACTGTCTGGATGGTGGCTCCTCCCTGGGGCTTGCAGAGTTGTTTTTTTGCTTCTCCGACCTACCCCAGCCCTGCGCTCATCAGTACTGCCCTTGGCGGCTTTCTCTGGCTCTTCAGGGATGCCTTTGGCAGATCATTCCTCCCCTGTGACTCAGTTTCTCTTTTTAGTGTACAATCTTACTTAATTCAGTCATACTAAGAGTAGATATTTCTATTTGTGACTCAGTTTCCACATTTGTTATTAGACATCATAATTATCCTGCTGGGTTCCCTCATTCATCCCTTTACATTCTGTCCACTGATGGTTTCAGGTTGGTGTGTCTTTTTTGTGGTTGTTTGCATAACTGGACGTGCATTCATTCATTCATTCATTCAGTTAATGTTTGTTGGGAGCCTGTGGGGTGCTAGGCCTGTGCTGGGTGTGGGGGGATGCAGCAGGGAGCAGGGTAGACATGGGGCAGCCCCCCCCCCCCGATACTCACACTAAAGGGAAGACAAACGATTAGATAGAGAATTCAGACGTTCTCGTGGTGACAAAGGGGGAAGTGAGGGACATCTGGGAGCTGATGACGGGTGGTCAGAAGCTGCCTTGAGGAAGTGAGGTCATCCCCCCAACACCCTCCGCTTAAAACCCAAACTCTTTACTTGGCCCTCCACGGCCTTAGATGACTGACCCCTGTGTGTTTGCCCAGCCTCAGCCCACCCTCCTCTTGCTACGCGGGCCACCTTGCTGACTTCTGACACATTGAGCTCTGACCCGTCTCTGAGCCTTTGCACACACTTTAGGCAGACCTTCTGCCTAGAGTCACCTCTCCCTGGCTGTCTGCCTGCATGGCTGTTCCTTCTTCCCTCAGCTCTAATGTCCCTTCTATGGAGTTGGCCACCCTGACCATGTCCTTGGACCTGGCCTTTTGTCATCAGTCTAGCATATTACCTCAGTGTGGGGGTTTTGTTTCTTGACTCTTATTTGGATTTTTTTTTATTTATTTATTTTTAAAGATTTTATTTATTTATTTATTCATGAGAGACACAGAGAAGCAGAAACACAGGCAGAGGGAGAAGCAGGCTCTCTGTGGGGAGCCCTACAGGATCATGCCCCAGGCTGAAGGCGGCGCTAAACTAAACCACTGAGCCACCCAGGCTGCCCTTATTTGGATTTTTAATTTGTTGGTTTATCATGTGTCTCACCAGTGTGATCTGGGGTTCCATGCAGAAGGGTCTGTGCTGTCCCTTTCCACCCCTGTGCCTGTCACAGGGTCTGGCACATAGTTGGTGCCCATGGATGCTTGTTGAATGAGCCTGTCCTGCTTCCCCAGAGTAGTTAGTTTCCTATTACTGCTGCAACAAATTCCACAGATTGAGTGGCTTAAAACCATCCCAGATTATTATCTGACAGTTCTGGAGGTTGGATGTCTGAAAATCAAGGTGTTAGCAGGGCTCTGTTGGCCAGGCCACACAGCCAGGCTCCAGGGGAGGATCTAGCCCCTTTTCCAGCAGGCAGCCTGTATTCCCCACTTTGTGGCCCTTCCTCCATCTCCAGAACATGTCTCTCTGACCTCTGTCTTTGTCATCATGTCACCTTTCGCACTTTGCTCTCCTTGCCTGCCCTCGTGATTACATTGGGCTGCCAGATATAATTTAGGAAAATCTCCCCACCTTGAGATCCTTAACTTCATCTCATTTGCAAAGTCCCTTTTGCCATGTAAGGTAACACATTCACAGGTTCTGAGAATGAGGACCTAGATGTCTTTGGGGGTCCTCCCACACCCAGGCCCCCAAGGGGCCTAGGAGAGTGTTGGGTGTGGTCTGCCTCCAGACCTATAGGCCACTGCCACAGGGCCTGGTGACCTGACCATCCCCTTCCCCCTGCAGGACGAGATCGAGGAGCTGCGGGCTGAGATGCTGGAGATGCGGGACGTCTACATGGAGGAGGATGTGTACCAGTTGCAGGAGCTGCGGCAGCAGCTAGACCAGGCCAGCAAGACATGCCGCATCCTGCAGTACCGGCTGCGCAAGGCTGAGCGCCGCAGCCTCCGTGCTGCGCAGACTGGCCAGGTGGATGGGGAGCTCATCCGTGGGCTGGAGCAGGATGTCAAGGTAAGCTCTGGGCCTTCCCCAAGCCTCCGCCGAGCCTGGGTCAGCCCACAGCTCGCTCCTTGTGTGTCTTTGAGCAAGTTACCCTACCTCTCTGGGCCTCAGCTTCCTCATCTGTAAAGGGGGGATCCATCGTGAGCTGATGACCCATTTCCCACGGGGGCTCCAAAGTGATATCATAAATGTGAATCCTACTAAAGGCAGCCACTCCGAGTGTCAACCACATGCTGGGCTCTGAGTTGTCCCTGCACTCACTACACTCACTATCTGTGGAGGGTTCTTTGTTTTTTTAATTTTTTTTATAATTTATTAAATTTGGTGATTTTGAGCATGTCACCTAAATTTCAGTTTCCTCATCTGTAAAATGAGTATCATAGCAGCCCTTGCCTCACAGGGTTCTATGAGGGTTAGAAGAGAGAATACAGGTAAGATGTCACTGTAAACACTCAAAACTGTTAGCTGTTATTATTAGTCCCATTTTCTGGATGAGGAAAGTGAGGCTTAGAGAATGGAAATGCCTGTGCAAGGTCACATGACACTTGGTGTGTACTTGGTACAGTGCAGGCTTATCAGCCTCCCATATCTGACCTCCCCTTCCTGCTGATGAGCTGGAGGCTGACAGGAGGGGCCTCTAGAAGAACAGACCTCTTTCTTGTCTGTGTGCCCTGGGCTGAGGGCTGAGATCTTGGTGGGGCCCAGTGTGAGCAGGAGGATGTTGGAGCTGGGGATGGAGGTGCAGCCCTGAGGGCTCTAGGGGGCTCTTCCTGCAGGGGTGACCTAAAGGAGGAGGGGGCCTGAGCCAGGTGTGGAGAGGAGGAATGCAGAGGGAGAGATTGCTCTCTGTAAGGGCCTGGGGGTGGGGGGGGAACTGGGAGCCACAGGCAGGCTCACATTTCCCATGTCTTTGGTGTGCACCCTGGGATTACGTCTGCTGTGCAGATGAGAACATTGAGCTCAGAAAGAGTGTGCCCCCAGGGCCAAAGCTCCCTGACAAGGCAGCCCTCTGGATAAATGGTTATACAGGTATTCAAACCCCAGGCCCTGGATTAGAGGGAGGTGGGGTGAGGAGCCCCGGGAGCTCAGACCGAGCAGAATTGGGGCCTGGGTGGTTGGAGATCTGCGGCATTCACACCAGAATCAGCCTTAGAGAGAGAAACGGGGGAGGAGGACCGACTGGGCCAGCTCGCCTGCACCTCCCTGGGAGGAGCGGAGAGCAGCTGGTGAACGGGTGGGAGGGGGGTGGTCTCTTTGCTCCAGGCACGGGGAAGCCGCCCCTTCTGTTGGGATTTGAACTGGCCAATCAGCATCCACCTTGCCCCCTTCTCTCCCTCTTCTCCCCGCCCCTGCAGCTGGAGTGCTGAGCTCATCTCTTCAGGCCCTGGCTGGATGCCTCTGGCCACTGCACTCTGCCCGGTGTGCTAGGCTTGTTCTCAGGCACTTTAGGGGTTCTCAGAGTTGTGGTATTTCCTGTAAGGGCTTGATGGCCCAGCTGGGGAGGGGACCCCAGATCTGGGTATCCCTGGGGACTCTCTGACTTGCTCTGCTAGCTCCTTGGCTCGTGCCCAGACTGACATTGGGCCACTGCTTGGGGCCTCAGTTTCTCCTTTTTTTTTTTTTGTAAAGGATAGCCAATTATTATTATTTTTAAAGATTTTATTTACTTATTCACAAGGCACACAGAGAGAGGCAGAGATACAGGCAGAGGGAGAAGCAGGCTTCCTGTGGGGATCCTGATGGACTTGATCCCAGGACCCTGGGATCATGACCTGAGCCAAAGGCAGACCCTCAACCACTGAGCCACCCAGGTTCCCCAGTTTCTTCTTCTGTTAAATATGGGGCTTAGAGCAGCCAAATCTCTAGAGCTTTTGCAGTTCTAGTGGTTTTGTCAAGGAGGTGGTTGGTTATTGGTGGAGGTGCCATAAATGAAACTTTGTTATCCTCCCCTCCTCAGGCTGTCTCTGTCTGTGGCCCTCATGGCCCACAGGCCTCACAGAGCCTCAGGGGGAACATTGCCCAGCACAAGGAAGGCAGGGAGACGGCTGTGCAAAGACCTGCTCTCCCACTTGCTTGGTGTGTGGCCTTTGGTAAGCTCCCTCACAGCTCTGAGCCTCACTAAATGGAGATAAAACTAGTTTTTACCTGTAGAGATTTTTGTGAGGATAAAATGAAATAGTTCAAGTAAAAGTGGGGTGGCCATGAAATCTGGTGTGGAGTGTTCACCCAGCAAAGGAGCAAATGTTGATTGTGGTGTTACTGTTTGGGAGAAGAACTTACAAGGCAATAGTATGGCAAGTGGCTGGGGCAAGGCCAGGGCAGGGGGGGCCAGAATCTCAACCCGCATGTGTGGATAAAAATCCCCTGCAGCGCTTATTCTCAATGCAGATTCCCAGGCCCCACCACCCATTTCCCCCTCCCTGAGGATTCAGAGTGACAGTGACAGGGAGGCCCATGAGCTGAGAGGCCCGATGAGCAGGGCGGCTGTGGCCTGAAGGCTGCTGGTTGCATTTGGCAGGAGACAGGCCTCAGCTCTGTAAACAGTGACCTCATGGCTGAGCGCATTGTTTGTGCTTTGGGGATTTGCCCTGGTGTCCGGAAGCTGCAGCTGCTTCACCTCCCATAGTATCTCAGTCCCCTAGCCCTGGGAGTAGTTGGGAGGACCATAAAAGCATGAAATGAGATAAGCAGGTGGGGCCCTGTGAGCATCTGACGTAGTGAACCCACTGCTGGGCTTATTATTATTATTATTATTTAAGATTTTATTTATTTATTCTTGAGAGACACACAGAGAAAGACAGAGATATAGGCAGAGGGAGAAGCAGGCTTCCTGCAGGGAGCCCGATGCAGAACTCGATCCCAGGACTCTGGGATCATGACCTGAACGGAAGGCAGACACCCAACCACTGAGCCACCCAGGTGCCCCGTTATTAATACTTTTAGTGCTGATAATAATATAATGTCTTCAGGCTTTGGGCCAACAACAGGGTTAGGTGGAGAGCAGAACTCTAGAGTTGACCCACAGGATTTCAACCCTTGGTTCTGTAGCTGCCTAGCCATGTGACCTTGGGGAAGTGACCTTTCCTTTTCACACCTCAGAATGGCATTAATCAAGCCCTTCCCAAGGGGATGAAAGGCACATGGTGTTAGGAAGTGACATCTGATTCTATAAATCACCTGTGAGAGGCAAGGGCACCCAGGACCACTGAGGCTCAGAGAGAGGAACGGACAGGCTGAGGCCACCAGACTCCTACCTTCCAGGCTCTTTGCTCTTGTGGGCCTCCACTGGGGGCGCGGGGTTCTGTGGGATCTGAAATTGAGGGCTCTTTTGTTCTCGCTGGAATCCCGTCAGCTGCCTGGGGTTGAGTGTTCTTGACACAGCAACCCTTGGGGGTCGGGGACAGTTGGGGAAGGAGATCCTGTGGAGAATGGGATGGAAGGAGTGTCCAGACTCCTGGAACGGATGAAGTCACAGAGTCATTTATGAACCCAAGAGGATCCGGGAATCCACATGGATCATGATTTCTTGGTGGGGAGTGTCGCCTCCCAAGTTGAGGCCGTGGTAGGTGGAGCAACCCCTCAGATGGAGAGGAGCTGGCCCCAAGGGGAGAAGCCACCTGCTGCTGAGCCCTCACATCAGTCGAGGACACAGCCTTCTGTGGACAGTGGGTGGGGTGGGTGGTTGAGGGGCACATCCCTAATCTAGTTAGGGTAGGTGCAGCTCCCCATATTGCAGCCATTCTTTTATCTCCCTCCCTTTTCACTTTTTGGAACCTTGAATTTGTTTGCTCTCCAGCAAGCATTTACTCGGCATTAGGGTGTGCTAGAGTGCGCTGCTGCTGGGACACGGATATGAAGGAACCCAGGCATGGTCCGGGGCCTTCAGCATTCTGGCCCATGACTCCTGCCCCCACAGCTAAGCAGGATGAATGAATTAATGAATGAATGAATGAATGAATGAATGAGTGAATGGAGTATTGATCAGGACAGGGGCTTTCTGGGTGACCTGATAGCCTCAGACTGGGAACCATAGCCAAGTGCACAGAGGTGAAGCAGTGATCCTGACAGTGCATTAAAAAGTTATATTTCTTAAAAAAAAAAAAAAAGTTCTATTTCTTGATGATCTAGCCACCAGCCCAAGGATTGTGTCATTTAATCCTCACAGCAGCGCCTGGGAGTAGGCTGTATCCATTCCATTTACCAATGACCACCCGACACCGAATGCGTAAATAAACTTGCTGTGGGGGTCACACACACACACCCAGTGCTGGAATCAGACTCAGTCTGGTTTTCCCCACGTGCCAAGTCCTTGTTCTGATATTGAGGTGTCGCTCATCTCACTTTGTGGACAAGGCACGATTCTGGTTGCCCTTGGGGACCTCCAGGGACAGAGAGCCACGGTGGACAACAGAGGCAGGGGGAGGCAGTGCTGAATTTCCTTTCTGGCTGTTGTTTTTCCTGGCCTGTCTCTCATACTGCCAACGGGTCCGTGCCGAGCTGGGCCTGAGCCCAGGCAGAGGGCAGAGCCAGGGAGGGCCCTCTTCCCTTCCGGAATGGAGGAGGTGCAACGGTTGTTTCCGAGACTGGCAGGCATGGGGCGTTGGGCTTTCTGCCCCTCACATACCTCTTGCTGGCAAAGCCCTCGTGCCCCTCCAGAGCCCTGGCCACACTGGCCCCTCAGGCAAATCCCAGGGGCTTCTCCCAGCTCAACTCATACTGGCTTTGCATGACCCCAAGTCAAGTCACTTGTTCTGTAAGCCTCAGACAGAATTGGAGTGAAGATGAATGAATCTGGCACACAGTAGGTATTCAACAACTGATAGTGCCTGGACCACTCAGGGATACTGGTGATTTACCAGCTCAGAAGGGCCTTCCTCATCCTCGGATGCCTCCTTTCCTGGTGTTGGACCTCCAGGGTGTCCTCGAGGAAATGGGGTGCTTTTGCTGCAGATCCCTGGAACCAGGATTGGTGTTTGCAGGTCTGTTAGTTCCTTTCTGTATGGATGACCTGGACACATGCCCAGCCTTTGTCATTTAGAGCATGTTTTATATCCCAGACAATTGGAAACCAGCCTCGGGGTCACACCACGACCTCTAGCAAGTCCTGCCCCTCTCTGAGCTTCAGCATCACCACTCCCCAGGACTCACTGTGCTGGCCTAGGGCCGAGATTTTTTGTGCAAAACTGATTCAGTCCTCCTGATGGGCCCATGAGGCTGCTGCTACCACTGCACCCTTTTTGCAGTTAAGGAGATTGAGGGACAGAGTGGGAAAATGATTTGCCTAGGGTCACGGGCTGGACACTGGCAGCAATGTGATTCAGATGGCCCTAGGGCCACCCATCTTGCTCTGGTTTCAACTCCAGCTCACTTCCCTACTTTTAAAATGAGCATCTCTGGCCCTGCCGCAGGCTCTCGTGAGACTCAAAATCACAGAATGCCCCAGGTAATTGAAAAAGCCTTGCTAAAAACTGTCAGGGCCTTTCTAGCTTCCTGGGGAGACTGAACTTGGACACAGACATTGGGAGCACTGGGTGTCTGGGTTTGGGTTTTGCTTCTGCTATTTCCTGGCTGTGTGACCTCTACCCTCTACTGACTTCTTTGTGCCTCAGTTTCCTCATCTGCTAAGCAGGGGTGAGGAGAGACACAGTCTGCTGGGGGAGGTTGCTCTGTAGCCCAAGTGGATCATCACCCACCCTTGCTTACCAATCTCATCACCCACCCTTGCCCAGGTCTCTAAGGACATCTCTGTGCGGCTGCATAAGGAGCTGGAGACAGTGGAGAAGAAACGGGCACGGCTGGAGGAGGAGAACGAGGAGCTTCGGCAGCGGCTTATCGAGACCGAGCTGGCCAAGCAGGTGCTGCAGACGGAGTTGGAACGGCCGAGAGAGGTGAGGACAGGTCCATCTCTGCAGGGCCAGGCCAAGGCAGGTGGGTGTGTGCCAGCCCCACCTGGCCAGGGGCTCGGAAGCGCTGTGTTTGTACGGTCATGCCTCCCTGGCAGAGCTGTCTTATTCATGCATTCATTCCTCCTGCACACATTTCCTGAGCGCCCGCTGTGTACACTGTGTGCTGGACTCAGAGGACACAGTGGTGAGTGAAAGACTCCTGTCCACCAAGAGTCTACAAGTTAATGAAGGAGACAGTCATCTGCCAAAGAACTGCAACTGTCGGGGGGATTAACTGAGAAAGCATTCCACAGTGACCCCTGTGGGGCCCTCTGCCTCAGTTTCCTCACTTCCAGAATGGGACAGCGATGCCCTGAGTCACTGAGAAGACTAGCTGGGATAACTTGTGCAGACATGCTTTAGGGGCTGCCATTTGGTGTGAAGGTGGTGCTGGGGCCGGGCCTCTGGCCAGTACCTTGACACAGATTTTAAGACATTAGACACTTCCCCAGGCACTGGCCTGTCTGTCTTTGTTCATATGAGCTCTTCCCCTTGTATGTATTTTCTGCCTTCTGCTAAATGTTGGGCATGCAGCATGTTAAGTACCATGCTAGATACTTTATCTCAACAATTTTCATAGAGGCCCAGTGAGGTTGTGATTATACCCATTTTATGAATGAGGAAATAGCCCCTGAGAGAAGGAGGGATGCCCTCAAGGTTTTACAGAGCCCAGTGGGCTCTGCAGAATGCCTCTTGAAAGCCTTCCCTAGGTGACCCCTATGGGCTGGAATCCTTTAGAATTCAGGGATCTGTGTTCCTGATGGCCTTGGGTAGCTCCTGATCATAGAGGCACAGCTGGGTCTCAGCTCTCTGGCTGCTCACGAGGGTATCCTAGGATTGTACATTGTTCTAGGGCACTCCTTACCTTCCCCGAGGGCAGGCATGCCAGTGTTCCAGGACTGAGACACCACAGCCCTGAGGCCAGAACAGCCCTTCAGTGCCCTCCCTCCTGGGTGTGTTGCTCTGATGTGCTAACAGCATCTCATTGCAGAGACTGGGGGCATTTGCTGCTGAGGGCTGCCGTGGGGCCCTGTCAGGCAGCGCCCCCCCCCCCCACCTTGGCCTGGCCGACAACACAGGGAACCATCTTCACACATCTCATTGCTGTCACCCTTGATAGTGAAAAGGGGAGACAGTTTCAGAGAGTACTCTGGAGTTTAGTGTCCTTCCTTCCTTCCTTCCTTCCTTCCTTCCTTCCTTCCTCTTTCCCTCCCTCCCTTCCTTTTTTTTTTTTAAAGATTTTATTAATTTATTCATGAGAGAGACACACAGAGAGAGAGGCAGACACAGGCAGAGGGAGAAGCAGGCTCCATGCAGGGAGCCCAAAGTGGGACTTGATCCCAGGACTCAATCCTGGGACTCCAGGATCATGCTCTGAGCCAAAGGCAGATGCTCAACTGCTGAGCCACCCAGGCGTCCCTCTTTCTTTCTTTTTTAAAGATTTATTTATTTGAGAGAGAGCACGTGAGCAGGATTGGGGGCAGAGGAAGAGGGAGAGAGCAGACTTCCTGCTGAGTGCGGAGCCTGACACGCAACTCAGTCTTAGGACCCTGAGATCATGACCTGAGCCAAAATCATGAGTCGGACACTTAACCGACTGAGCCACCTAGGCGCCCCAACTCAGCATGTTTCTATTGTAGAGGAGAGGAAGCTGAGGCTCAGAAAGAGACAGCCTGCCTGAGTTCCCCCACCCTTCCTTGGCAGAGATGTGGCTGAAGCCCTGAAGCCAAGTCCTCTCTAAGTCTCAGTTTCTCCATCTGTGACATTGGGATAATAACAGTACCCAGCTCATGAGTTTATGAGAGCATGAAAATTGGGTAACCATAGAACGCTATGAAGGAGTTACAAAGAATAAAGTAGTATGGCAATTCTTGAACAAATTATACATGCAATTATTATTAGGAGCTAGCAAATCCACCTTGGGATGTATGCCCAAAAGAATTGAAAGCAGGGACATGAACAGTGATTTGTACCCCTGTGTTCCTAGCAGCAGTATTCACAATAGGCAAAAGGTAGAAGCATCCCAAATGTACATCAGTGTATATACATACATACAGTGGACTCTCGGTAAGCCTCAAGAAGGACTGAAATTCTGACACCTGCTACATCATGGGTGAACCTTGAAGCCATGGTGCAAAGTGAGATAAGCCAGCCATCAATAGACTAGTATTATATGATTCCACTTGTAGGAGCTAGTTAGGGTAGTCAAATTATAGAAACAGAGAGTAGGATAGAGGTAACCAGGTGCTGGACAGAGGAGGGAGTGGGGGATTGGTATTCAGTGGGTAGAGAGTTTTAGTTTAGGATAATAAAAAAGTTCTAGAGATGAATAGTGGTTTCTTGACAAAGTGAATGCACTTAATACCACTGAAATGTGTACTCGAAAATGACTAGAAATGGTAAATTTCATGTTATGTGTACTTCAGCACAATTTTAAAAAAAGAATAAGGTAGATATATAAGTACTGATGCTGAGAGGTCTTTAACAAAAAAAAGAGGGCTACATGGGTGCGCATGTGCACCATGCGCGCGCGCACACACACGTATTGTGTGATCCCACTAATTATTTTGAAAGAGCATCAGAACAGACTTGTTTTGGGGCATTTATGTCTGCAAATGCCTAGTAAAAGTCTGGAGGAAAATCCACTGAACTAAGGAGTGAGGGACGGTGGGAATAGCAAGGGGAAATGACTTTGCTATTTTTTACCTTATTTTATTTTATTTTATTTTATTTTTTATTTAGATTTTATTTATTTTTTCATGAGAGACACACAGAGAGAGGCAGAGACATAGGCAGAAGGAGAAGCAGGCTCCCCATGGGGAACCCAAAATGGGTTCCCCCTGGGACTCCATCCCAGGACTCCGGGATCATGATCTGAGCCAAAGGCAGACACTCAACCACTGAGCCACCCAGGCGTCCTGCTTTGTATTCTTTTAATTAATGCTGTAGTAAGGTGGGTTTTGGAGAGAGGGTGATTATTTGTGAAATTTGAAATGTAGTCAAGCATGTAAAGAGCCCTGTGTGGTGCCAGGCACACAGTAGGTGCTCCAGAAATACTGGTTCACTTCCCCTTTGAAGGCAATGTCAACAAGGCACATCTGGCCCTCCCTGGCATGCTCTTTGGTGTCTCAGGATCTGGGCAAGGGGGCATGGCCCTGTGTTTATTTGCTGATTGCCTTCTCCCCCCACCCCCACCTCCTTCCTTTTTTTTTTTCCCCACCTCCTTCCTGACATGGTTTCCATGGAGATGAGGGTCCCTTAGCAATTTTGCGAGAGCTGCTGGAGTCTCATCTACATCTGCCTTTGCCATCCTGACAGGTTGCTGTGGCGATACCATCACCCAGCTGGGAACAGGAGCCCCTGGCCTGAGCTGATGTGGTTGCCATGGAGATCACCCCCCCCCCCAGAGAAGGGAGGGTGGCCGGCCCTAGCTGCACTTTGCAGTGGCACTGTTTCCCAGCTGGGTTGCAGCTCAAGAATCATAACACCAGCCTCCCCCTTGTCCAGTATCATTCCCCCGTTCTTGTATTTTAGGCAGAAAGCCAATACAAGTGTTGATGTGATGTATTAGAATATAGCTGCTGTGTGTGAGTGCTTGCTCTGTACCAGGCACCGCACCAGGCATTTTATGTACCTCCTCCTGTTGTGAAACCAGCAGCTTCCCTACATACCTAGTGTTGTTATCTTCATTTTACAGGTGGCATTCTTTTTGACAATAGTTTAACTGTGATATGATTCACATACTATAAAATTCACCATTTTAAAATGTCAAATTTCATGGTTTTTGATATATTCATAATGTTGTACATCTGTCACTATGATCTAAGTCTAGAATGTTTCCATTGCCCCCAAAAGAAACCCCGTACCTGCTAGTGGTCCATTCCTGTGCCCCCTGCCCTCCAGCTCCCCACAACTGCTAATCTCCACTCTGTGGATTTGCCTGTTCTGGACATTTCATACAAATGGAATCATGCAATATGTGATTTTTTTGTGACTGGCTTCTTTCACGCAGCATCATGACTTTAAGGTTCATCTATGTTGACATGTATGTGTCAGTACTTCTTTCCTTTTTGTGGTCAAATAATAATCCAGTGTATGGATGTACATTTTGTTTGTCCCCTCATCAGTTGATGGACATTTGGATTGTTTCCACATTTTGAGTAGTGTAATAATGCTGCTATGAACATTTGAGTACAGGTTTTGTATGAAGATATGTTTTCAGTTCTCTTGTGTGTATACCAACGAGTGGCCTGCTTCATATCGATGGGACTGGGGAAAAGACCAAGATGGGATTCTAACCCAGGACTCTTTATCTCCCAAAGTCACACTGGCTGGTGGGTATTGCCCCACCCTCCATGCCCTATCCAGGTACCTTCCTAGGACCCTACCTGTTTTCAAAACCTCCAAAGGAGCTGAGTATCTCTGTCTCTGGCACAGGCTTTTTGTCCTGCTTTCTGCTCTGATGGGTACTGACCATGACATTAGATCACCTAGGTTCAAATCTTGATTCTGCTGGTGGTGTCATCTGATGCAGCTGGGTAGTGGTCTATGTGGTGCAGGACAAACTTGAATTTGGGGTCATATGGGCCTGAGTTTGAATTCTGGCTTTGCCACTTACTTACTTGTAATGCTGGGCAAATTGTATAACTACTCCAGGGCTCAGTTTGTTCATTTATAAAACAGGAATATGGGACACTTGGGTGGCTCAATGGTTGAGCATCTGCCTTCAGCTCAGGGTGTGATCCCATGGTCTCGGCATCGAGTCCCACATCGGGCTCCCTGCATGGAGCTTGCTTCTCCCTCTGCCTCTGTCTCTGCCTCTCTCTGTGTGTCTCTCATGAATAAATAAATAAAATCTTTAAAAAGGTAGAACAGGAATATGAATCCCTGCTTCTCAGAGACAAGCAGGTAAAGTGCTCGGTGAATACTGATTATCCTCGTTT